GGTCACCGGGGCTGTCCTGGGGGCTGAGGGGGTGTGGGGCACACTGGGGTGGACCCCCGGCGTGTGCCCTCTATGGGCAGCTGAGGTGGCCCCATGCGGTCCTGGGGGCTGAGGCGGCTCCCCTACACATGCTGTCCCTGGGGGATGGAGGTGGCATGTGGAGGACATGGGTGTTTCCCTTGTGCTGGCCCAGGGATGGGGGGTGAGGTGGCCTCCTGGGGAGGGGGCTTGAACTGCATCTGCTGTCCCCATGACAGCGGGACGCCCCCTTCCCCCGCCATAGACCCTGCAGGGGCGGCCACCCGCTCTGTCCCAAGCCCCTGGCGCTTGCCCTGTAGCTGCCAGTGCTGCTGTTGGGATCCCTTGGGCGCTCCCAGCGCTGCTGGGTAGGACAGCTCAGCAGCAAGCTCTAGCTGCACTGGTCTCCTTGCCCCTCACTCGCCGCCACCATCGTGCGCTCGTGTGGCCCCAGCGCCCAGGGTGGTGCTTTCCTTTACCTGTCCCGCTCCGCTGCTGGCTGACGCTGACTTGGATGGGCCAGAGCTGGCATGGAGGCTCTCTAGGGGAGCTGCTGTCTTGCCTTCACGCCATCCACGAGGGCTCACGTGCTGCCCCGAGCCCTGCCGAATCGATCAGAAAGTGCCCGCTGGCTGGGATTCCCCTCTCACAGCGTGAAGGGGTGCGGGAGAGTTCGCGGGTCGAAGGATCTGCCTGCAGTTTTCAGACTCATCATGGGGGAGTGTTGCCACCGGAGGAGTTGGTGAAGCCTGGGCTACTGTGGCTTTGCCTTGATGCTGTTTGCCCTGCAAGGGCTCCCTGGTGACCTGCAGGCTCCCACTGGGCTCCTTTCCACTGGGCTGTAGCTTGCATGGCTCTCGCTCACCTATTGAGCTCCCTTTTTCCCCCCTAGAACCTGTGAGAACTTGCTGCGGGTGCCAGATCGGTCTCAAGTTGTGCAACTGATGCAAAAGTTCAGGGGGAGGGAGTTGGGCCGGTTGCGCAAAGGTGGCTTCCCTAGGCAAGGCCGAACGCCCCCTCCGGGGTGCCCGCGCACCCCAGTGATGCCCTGGAGGCTCGGAGCGGGGAGCGGGGCAGGCCTGGCCGGGCCACGGCGGGTTGGGGTCGCTCCTAGTGGCCAGAGACCCGGTCCTGGGACCTGCGGCTCCCTGCCCTGACATGTCTGTAACCCCTTTAGGAGCTGAGTTTGCAGCCCCACCGGCTGTGGGGTTTATTCCTCGGCTTTCAAGCTGTGATGGGTGTTGTATTCAGCCTCTTAAGTACCTCGGGGGCCTTTGTTGTCTGAGCGCTGTCTCGCAGGCAGTGTCTTTGATCAGGATCTTTATCAGTGACTTATCGCAGCCCTTCCTTGGGGTGGCTCCAACGACTCTGGGACATGTTCACCCAGCTCCAGGGCTGGTCTCCTTGGTCTCCTGCTACAGCTCCATCTGTGCTCATGTATTTCCATTTCATGGCTCTAATGACAAAGGGTCAACTTCTCTCTAGAAATCCTTGTGCTCACATCCCCACCCCCTTCCTGGAGATCCCCTTGGAAAGACATGCCCAAGCAAGGGCTTCCCAGCACGGCTGCTGCCTACGCATGGATCCTAATTCCCTTAAACATCATGATGGCCCACAAGAAGTGTTGAAGGTGATCGCTTATCTTCTGTCCTTCATAAACAAGAGGAGTTTGGGCCATGGGCACTGTCCCAACTTGCAATAGAAACAATTGGAGGTGTTGGGCAGGAGCTGGAGCAGGGATCACTTCTCCATGATGCTGTCTTCTCGGCAGGCACAGAGCTGGTGGGAACCCACAGGCCCTGACAGATCAGGCCTCCAGGAGAAGCCATGAGGGAGGAGAGAAAACTAGCCACTTTGTCCCCATTTCCTCTCTCTGAGAAATGAATAAGCCTCACTTCCATCCCCCCCAACCTTGCCTATCATTCAAGAATTAACTGGTGTGGCTGGTAAAACATTTACTGTCCTTAAGGCAAGGTGTTTATTTAACCTTCCTGTCTGTAGCGCAGCCTGTGGCAGGGAGTCCTGCTTCTCCAGGGTTCCTTGGTTCCCCCCCGCCCTGCCCCAGGTGCTGGTTTACAGTGGGATTGCTGGGACCACCACACTGCCTGTCTGAAGTCCCCTCTGCTCGGCTAGCTCTAATCTTGCTCCGCTCCCGAGATCGATTAGACTTTGTCCTGTGAGGAGTGCGAGCGCTGTGGATGTGCGCTGTGCCCAGACAGCGGGGAAGAGCTGAAGCGCTTGGGTTTGTGCAGGGCAGAGCACCCTGCTGCATCCTGCTCCAAGTCCTTCATTTTGAGGTGCCTACTTCCAGTACTGGGGTTTGTAGATCAGAGTTGGTTCAAGTGCTGTAGGATCCACTCTGGACACAATCTCCACGGGGGAAATTTGAGTGTGTTGGGCACCCTCTGGGCCCACTGTCATTGAGCAGCTCTCCTTGAGTGGGGGGACAGGGCTGATCCTGGCTGCCTGGGCACAAATGTGTTCTTGCACCCTCAAGAAACATCTCTAGGGAAGGAGAGCCCTTTGTTCCTTCCCATCTCACTGGTTCCCCTTGCCCCAGGGAGCATCCTTGTGCAAGTGAAGCTTTGGGCAGACAGCGGGTGGGTGACTGTACATCTGAGCTTATATGTGCACTAGACAGAGCCAAGCTCTGAATTTGGCCCTTCTTGCTGAACCAGATCAGGCCCATCTGACATTGCAGGCAGCCATTCTCTAGAGGAAAAGCGTGATTTTGCCAAGGCTGTGCAGCAAATTACTTAGTGAACCACAGCATCTAAAAGGGTATTTCCTCTCTCCAAATATGCTCCTCACCTGGAGCTTGATGGGAAAAGTTGCTCTTCTCTCATTTCTCCCCTTTCTTGTCTGTTTACCTCAACAGTCCAGTGCAGAAACTTGTGTTCAACAGAGTGAATGGCAAAAGGCCACAGGTGCTGCCACAACATGTTTTGGCCTCGGAGGAGAGCTACACGTTGGCGCATGAGGAGAATGTCCGCTTTGTCTATGAAGGTGAGAGCGTCTGCGCGCAGGGCTGGCGGTGTGGGCGCCTGCTCGTGGCCTCGAGGGGCTGGATAGTGCGGGGTCCCTGCCAGGTGAGTGCCGCATGGGGACTCCCTTCCCCTGTCACCTCTGCTCTGCCTTGTGCCAGGGATCACGGTGGCTGGGGTGGCAGAGATGGGGTCACTTGAGGCTTGTGTCCTCGGTTGCCCCTGCTCCAGCCTGGGGGAGGCTCCAGCCTCTTTTCCCATGCATGGTGCAACTCCGGGGCCAGGAAGTTCCCTTACTCAAACCCAAGCAGTGCTCCTCCCAAAGGAGGAGAGCCGGCGGAATTAAGTGGGGACAGAACAACAGATCTCCGGGCCCTGCTCCATGCTTGGATGGGAAGGCAGAGCCCGGGACAGCCCGGTGTGCTGCGTGTGGTCTGAAATGAGGTGGTTCGAGCTCTGCTGGCCTCTGCCTGCCCCAGGGGCTCTTCCTCTCACCTGCTGCACCTTCTCCTTTCCCAGCCTGGCAGCAGGTAGAGCAGCAGCTAGACGGCAGCCAGAGAGGGGAGAACGTGTGCGGCCCCGTGCAATACGTAGAGAAAACCCCCAACCCCGGACTGAAAAGTAAGTGAAAAGCAGCCCCAGTGTGTGGTCTCCAAGGTACATCCATGGAATGAGTTGATTTGATCTCAGCCCAGGCCACAGACAAAGCTGCTGAGCAGGGTCTGTGCTTGTGGTGTCCTGGCAGTGCTGAGGCACCTTGGGGTGAGCGGGGTGGGAGCCCTAGCCCTGTAGTGTGCATATTCGCTGGGCTTTCTCAAGGCAGCCTGAGCATGCGGTTGTCTGATTCTCATGGCTCTCCTGAGGAAGATGTCCTCTCCAGAGGCCAAGAGCACTCAACATTGTGCTGGAGAGGAACCCTCTGTTCCAGCTCCTCCCATGCTGAGTCCTGCTGCTGGGGACCTGTCTCCTGTTCTTGGGGCTCAATGGGACTGAGAGAAAGTGCAGAGAGGCTGGGTGGACAATGGGCTTCTCCAAAGGCAGCTGGAAGAGGGTCTCCAGGCAGCCAAGGATGTTCCAAGCTGAAGTGAATCAGCCTTTTGGAGCTCCTGCAGTGTCTGTGAAAAGAAGGTCCCCGTAAGGCATGAGCCAGGCTTCTTGTTCTGGGCTAGGGTACAGGGAACAGGAAACCTCAGGGTGTTGCTTCCCTGGGGACAAGGAATGTGACTCTGGGACCACCCCTTGCTGCATTCCCTCCTCTGGCTGCTCTGCTATGCTCTTTTCTTTCTCTCCTTCTCTTCTCTTTCAGACTTTGTTCCTATCGACCTGGAGGAGTGGTGGGCACAGCAGTTTCTTGCCAAAATTGAAAACTGCTCCTAGAAGGAAAAGAAACCCACGAAAGCGAAAAGTGTCTGATCAGAAACCAGATTCGGTGAGATTTTGAAACTTGTTTTTTTTTAAAAAAAACACAATCAAGCGACCCCCTCTCGCAGCCCACCGAGGACAGCGGGGACGGACCAGAGCCACGTGCCCGGCCGAGCGCCTCCGCTCCCTGGGCCCCGCGCAGGGGCAGAGGAGCTGCGCGTGGCCCAAGCCAGGATGCCTTAAGTGCCAGTCTGCCGATGGCTGCAGCTCCCGCAGCCTCGGGCTCCCATGGACACTCCGTGCCAGGCCGGGGGGACGAGGGGAGGAGCGTGACCCTTCCCACCCTCATGCTGTAGCTGAGGGAGGAGGCAGGAGGGTCTTTGTAGCCAGGACTGCGAGGCAATAAAGCACTGAAACTGCCACTGGAGAGGAGCTCGCTGACCTGGGAGCATTTGAGGACAAGAAAGGGCTGAGCTGGAGGGGCCCCGCCAGCCTGGGAGGGTGCTGGGGGGCAGAGGAGGGATCCATGCGCACGGATCTGTGCGTGCAGCCCTCTCGGGGCAGCTTTGTTAGGTGCTCATTCCCTGGGGGTTAAGCTCCTAGGCTTCTTCCCTGCTTGGCTTGCATGGCCAGGCTCTGGGGACGAAGAGCCTCAAGCACCTGCAGGGCTCCTGCTGTGGCTTCCCTTGGGGTTGCAGCCTTCTCTTAGCCTTGCTGCTTGTTCCTCATGTTCCTGACCCAGCCAGGGGCTCCTGCTGCCCCCCGGCGCACGGTGAAGCTGTTGGGCGAGCGGCACTAGGAGCTGCAGGGCCCATCTGCACCGAGGGCACAAGAGAGACGCGGTGCACTTGCCACTCCACCTCCCATAGCCACAGCCAGGGAGAGCGAAGGTGGCTGCAGAGGAGGGGACAAGCTCTGAGCTTGGGGCAGGGGCTTGGCTGCTGTGGCAGGTCTTTTTGTTCTGCTTTCTGTGACAAGCCAGCCCCAAGGACCAGCCCCTCTGGGAGTCACTGATGCTAGTGGCTTTGCCACCTCTGCCAGGGCAGTGGGAGCTGGAGGAATGAGGGGAAGTGGAATGAGGCCTGGCCTGGTACCTGGTAAGAAACTCCAGGTGAGTTGGGTGCTGACAGAGAGGGGTGGGAGGGTGGGAGCCCCTCAGGTCCATGCAGTGGAAGGGGTGGTTCCAAGGCTGGCAGGAGATATTGGGGACACCCCCTGTGATGCTCTGCAGGATGTCCATGGATAGAAGAGCAGGAACAAGGGTGCCACAGCCAACTCGGTGCTGCTGGTTGCTCTGGTGGAAGCCACCCAAGGGCTCTGCCTCCCTCCTTGTGGCTGTTGTGCAAAGCCCCAAACCCCTGGGCCTGTTGCCTCCATCCCCTTCCCAGGGCTTGGGGGCTGCTCCTCCAGGCAGAGAAGGGGATGGGCAGTCTCTCCAGGTTCTGCTCCCAGCCTCAGCAGTTGCTGCAGGGACATCCAGCCCTGTCACGGGGCCTCCCCCTCCTTCTACCTGGGCACCCCTAGGGAGGCAGGATCAAGGCAGGGCTTGGCCCTCACCTCAGCCCAGCAGAAACCTTTGAGGCAAGGAAACCTTGTGGGATGGGGGCTGGAGCTGCCCGCTGTGTGCAAAGGAGGCCAGGAAACATCAGTTGGAAAAAAATCTGTTTTATTCCTCTCATAGCATAACTCTCCCTGCCAGAGCCCTGTGCACAGTGCCAGGGGAGATGAGGCACCCGAGTCCCCCCACCCCGGGGTCACACACCCTGCAGCAGCCACATGTCTCCCTGCAAGAGGTGTTTCCAGCTGCAGCCCTGTCACCCCCTCCAGCACAGAACCACGGGCAGAGCCACCCAGCAGGCTGTGAACCAGCACCGTGGTGGGCACTGCTGCAGCTGGAGGTGGCGAGAGGCTCCGCGGCTGTGCGGGGCTGACTGCCCCGGCCTGCCCTGTGTCGTGGCAAGGGCAGCAAGCAGTGGGTCTGGCCCTGGCCCTGCTCGAGGAGCTCGTGCCAGGATGGGCAGCAAAGGGGCTGGGAAGTCTCAGTGGGGGCTCTGCTACCAGTTGCCCCAGGCACCAGGTGGACCCCATAGGGCTCGACAGAGCTTGTCCTCTCCAGCGGTAGCACCCACCTTGCAGGCCCGGGGCAGGCATGGCCTCCATGCTCGTACCCAGGCGCAGCCAGGGCTGCTCATGCCTCATCTAAATGTCACCCTTAGCACTTGCTTCAGCCTTGCCCTGGGCCCGCTGCAGCTTGGAAACCTTGCCCTAAATGAAAACAGGCATGAGTAGCACCACGCACTGCCCGCGGCTGCTTCCTCGGCAGGAGGCCAGGGTCAGCAGAGCTTGGCCCTGTACGGAGAAGCTGCCGCTCCAGGTTGCTTAGGCCTGAGCAGGGGAGATGCTGCCCCGGCGTGGCGGCTGCAGCAGGGCAGCCTTAGTGCAGCCCCCGGCCCGTGCTCGGAGCTGCCGCCTGCCTGGCCGTCAGCAGGCGCCTGCAGAGGGACGTGGCCCTTGGCTGCTGGAGCCCTTCTGCTGCAGCTCCCGCTCGCCCTCCACCTGCCATCAGCCCCAGGCCCCAAGGCTGCCACCTGTGCCACAGCAGGTCTGCTCTGCACATCTGCATTTTGCAATACCTGCCCTAGCCCCTACCCTGAATTTCCTCCCACATCCTCTCACCCCTGTTCCAGATGAGACACACAACAGCTCTGCCAAGGAGGGGACTCGGGCATGATCCGGGGCTTTGATTCACCAAGCGGCTGCTTACCAACACAAATGCATTCAGTTACCATCAGGGAAATTCTTACTAAGGTGATGCACAACCATTCTCGCCATTGGCAGTAAGGGGAAACAAACAAACAAAAAAAAAAACGGAGCAGGAAGGAATGATTCAGTTACAGGAACAAAACAGAAAATCCAAGCCCTGCGCCTGCAATCACTAGAAGGGAGTCAGCCCCCCCCACCCTGTACTATTAATTGATTTAGTGTGTGCAATTGTGTGTATTATTATAGTGCAAATAGCTCTGCATTGATCCTGGGGCAGTCAGCCAGGAGGAGACTGCCCCCAAGTGAAACAGGGACTAGTTAGAGACAGATGAGAACCAACACACACATATATAATACATATAAAACAAATAAAAAGCAACTCAACCACTGGGAAATGCTCCAAATAACTTCCAGCCGGTCCTGCTACCTCTGGTTCTGCCTGCACGGACC